TTTATACGATGCACGTGGATAGCTCATAACCGCGCGCGCGCAGCCAACCGTATCTGAGCTGCTGCTGTTGCTGCCGTGCACATCATCGTCGACTTTGCACTTATTGGTCGTTTTTACAAGGAGGGTGTTTTGTTCGTACAAGGAGGATAATTGTGAAACCGCACGTGAAGTTTGAATTTTTTTTCGTTTTCCCGAAAAGTCTCGTGTAACTTTGACGCGCCAAGCTCAGCGGTGTTGTTAATGATAATTATAATATCGACGTTAACGTAATTATCTGTCGAAAATGTTGCGCACACACACACGCTTACTTACAGAGAAAACTACATGCCTAGCTAGTTTTATGAAAACTATAACTCGCACTTTAAACTCGGCTTTGAAACAAATTTCAAAGCAATCCATACTCAATTTTATTCAAGGTATTCGTTGATGATGGTAAAAACATTTATGAAAATTCGACCATGATTAAAGTCAACCTCCACCGCTAGATGGCGAGTTCCTTTGTTCGTAAATCTGCAAGTGGTAAAGTAAATATAATTATATATAAGCACTTAAATAGCTATGTGTTTAGCCTAAACCTAACCAGCTGTCTAATTGTTTACCTAAACAGCTATCTTAAACAGCTATTTTGTTTATTTTATTGTATCAAATTACATTAGATAAAATAAGTAGATTTTCAGCACAAAAATTAACATTTATGATATTGAATTTATATTTACAAATTTAATGTAACCAGCATTTGATATTAGATATGCAGAATTAAATCATGAGGAGCAGTAGCACCTAGCTTGCAAATATGGGCTGTAAGAAAATTAATGTGAATTTGATGAATTTTAAATTGAATTATTTAATATTTATTTTAAAGCTCTTACAGGATTATTAATTCACAACTTGTAATTGCTATGAATGCTAAATTATAAAAAAAAAATGCCATTTATTTTAATGTAAATATTTTTAATAGTGCAATAGTTTAATAAAATGCTATGTATTATTGCATACAAGACGACGTAGCCACAGCAGCAGGTAGCTTCATAATTTTTCGGGGAATTTTTTTTCATGATGTAATTAGGCTCACTCAGAGAAAGAGAAAGAGAGAGAGAGAGAGACCGCCACCTCGCATCGAGTCGATAAATCGACAAAGAAAAATGCGCCCGCGCCGATCACTCGTTCGCGCGCCGATCACTCGTCCGCCCGCCGAATCGAGCTTTTTAAAAGGCCTATGCATAGCTCGGGCACACTAATAGGCAATCGCAGTATTTTACAGTGGTAGATAACTTAGTTAATTGTAATTTCAACTCAATAAATATTTTTCCCCTTAAACGATTCGGGAGGGCATTATCTAATACAATTAGAATCCATCTTAATTAACTCGGCGATAAATCACCGCGTCCGCTGCTCGCACAACGCGCGCGCGACAGGCTCCATACACTCTGTGTATTACGTGTATATATATGGCTCTTTTTTAGCGTTCTATGAAAATTTCGACTTTCATCGTTTAAATTTATGATCATTAACGCATTATGAATATTCCCGGCAAAAATAGTATGAAAATCGAAAAGTGCAGAGTCCGTAAAACGTCGCGATAGAGGCGTTTTCTCAATTAAACGTTGATAAATGCGACAGCGAATATAATCCGATTACGTCCTGTTTCCAGGATGGCAGGTGCAACGATCGAAGCTTTTATAATGGAGCGATCGACAAAAAACGCGACGACGCACACGCGACAATAAAGACACGATAAATCGACAGCTTCGACAGCGGCTGTGTGTTTATACAGACGTTTCAAAAGAATGACCACATCGCGCGTCGATAGATTTATCTGCCATAGAATTTTGCATGCTGCACTCGAGTAATACTTGTGCGAGTGTCTGTGTATGTACAACAAGGCGCGGAACAAGTGAACGAAAACAACGAACCACGTGTCAGCGTGAACGTGGCGCGTCTGTGTAGGTATATGATCTTTGGCGCGGCGCGAAAGGGAATCGCGTCCTTGAGCGCTATGTGCCACACACAGCAGAGAAATGAAAATACGGTGCGGTGCGATGCAGTGCGCTCGGAGAGAGACAGAGAGAGAAAGAGAGCAAGAGATTGAGAGGGAAAAGAGAGAGAAAAATTCATCCAACAACAAAAGGTCGATTGTTTCCGCCCGGTTGAGAGGTAAAGCCGCTGCCACCGCTCCGTGGGGCTTCGATACCGATCGATCGTTCGCTTCGTATTATATACACATGCACATTTATTGACTTGTATACATTATTTTACAAAGTGGAAGTGTAATGAGCCGCGGAGCAGCGCGCGCGTATATATTTTTAATCCCGGCCCTGTTCGCGTATCGGATCATTCTTGATATACTTTATTGGCTAGACGCTTTTTTCTCTTACTATTTTTTTTATTTTCTTTTATTTTCTTGAAAATTCGAAAGGGAGTACAGAGTAGCACCGACGATCATGTTCTTATCGATGATATGGAAGCGATGTTATTGTCTGTGTATGTGTATAAGCGAGGTAGAGGCGAATTGGTAAGAGTGCACGATTCGCTCGTTTACGGTGTGCTTATTGTAATGAGGCGCTTTAATAGAGCAGCATCGGAAACAAATTTCTTCCAAGAGTGGATAGGCAGCTACGATTGATCTGATTATAATTTCGTGAAATTTTTAAAAATATATATAACCTCGTTACGTAATGGATTTTATATGAAAAATAATTAATATTATGAAGAGAATAGTATCAGAAAAGTGTTGATTCTCGTAAAAATACACACGACGTGTGCGATAGCAGCGGTGCACCAGATTATTCCATTTCACAATATGTTTATTGAAGTGTTCTGCCATTTCCCGTTTCTTTTGATATCTGTATACATAGTTTGGCTCTTTCTCTCTTTCGCTCGCTCGCTTCTGCTCTATCTCGCAACTTCATCTTAATACACTTTTTCGCCCGTGCTCGAACAATCAAGCCTACTTTTATTTACATAAGAAGTGATAATAATAATACACGAAAGCATAGATAACCTACTTCCATGTAGAATTTATGTTTATTAAAAATTTTTTTTTACATCTTGTGGTTACGAAAAAAAAGAGAATAATAATAAGTTGGCCAAAAACCGATAGCAATTTCGTACGAAAGCGCGAGCAAGTGCTCATCTTGTTTAATCTCTATACCTCGGACCACGGGATAGGAGGAGGGAAAAGCCAGGGGGGTAAAAAGGTTAAAAGGAAAAGAAGCAGTTAGAAAAAGAGCAATGAAACTCGCGTACTTGTGCAACTACGAGTCGGCGTTGGTGCGTATGTGTGTGTAGGTAAGCGTGTGCATACGTATATAGCGAGCAAATTAAAAGAACTCGAACGCGCGAGATAGCAAAGAACTTTGCACTCTCTTATTCTTTCTCTCTCTCTCTCTCTCTCTCTCTCTCTCTCTCTCTCTCTCTCTCTCTCTCTCTCTCACTCTCGACCATTACTTAAAACAATCATCCCCCTGCAGCAGTAGCAGCAACAAAAGTGGTAACCGTTAAAAAAAGGAAGAAAGAAAGAAGCGAAGAGTAAAAGAAGCTTCGGGTATGAGGACGATGCGCTGCAACTGCTGCTGGAGAATAAACTTTTCCTCTCCCTCGCTTTACGTGTAATCTGGCAAAAGTAAATTCTTCGGGCCACCCGATGGGAAACGCTCGAGCGAAGTAGATAGTACACATAGGCAAGCAAACCATTTCGTGCAACTTCATCCAAATAGAAGCGGAGGAGGAGAGCGCCCCGAGATGCTAATTGAATAATCGTACCGACCATTAGCGTTTTGCAAGCAGCAGTGAGCTAGCAGCAGCAGCGAGCTCTTCTTCTAAGTGGCGCTTATGCGTGTACAAGTGTATATAACGCTCCGTACCCGCACTGCACGGAAATTAAGGTATAGCTCCGAAGTAAACGAGTTATTAATTTTTTTTGCTCATTTTGTTTTTGTTTTTTTTTATGATGCTTATGCCTTCCCCCGCACACATCGTTTACAATGTGTACATAAAGGCGAAACGGTGTTTTTTACAGGCTCATCTGAGCTCATAAGCGCCTTGTACATAAAATGTGTTCTTTGGGTGATTTAAATGAATTTTAGATGACTTGGGGTATACACGGTATTTATACTGGCGCGAGCGCGCGGAGCTCGACAGATTTCCCAACTCGTGAAGCATTGCTTATGCTTTTTGATCGACGACTCGGGCCAAGGATTATAAATCTGGCAGCATTAATTTTGCATTATAGAATACGACGGATTTATGCTGCTGCTGTATACTCTAGCAAAAAAAAATTGCCGAAAACTCCAAGTAATAAAATCATCCTGACTTGTATCTCGAGCCTTCCTCCTCTATGTGTTTGCAGAATAAAATCACAAAAGAGAAAGAGCAACAGCAGCAGCAGATGCATCCTTGCCAAGCGCGCAACCCGCGCCGTGTGTTCCCGCACTCGAATATTTGTGTTTGCTATAGTCTAGCAGCTTTCAGCACTCTGTGCACGCAGCGTACGAATTTCTCAATTTTCTTCGCAACAGCTCGCTCAGACAACAAATAGTATATAGCTGTAGTAGCGGCTACGGCCCGCGTCGCCGTTTTTGCCGCGATGGCGATGCCTCATTATCGCGTTCTTGATCGTCACGCCAGAAGGAATCTTGTTTTCTGTGCAGTACTCCCGAAAAACAGTGAAATTTCCGTCTCCCTTTGCCGCGCGTACCCACTAGTCGCGCAAGTGCGTCTATATAGCCAGCAGCAACAACAACCTTCAAGGCCTTATATTTTATTCAAAGATTTAATGAATCGCGTGAAATGGAAAAAAAAGAAATTGGGACAGGTGCTTTCGGGATTATTTAGCAAAAATTTGGAAATTAACACAGAACTTTGTTTGTTATATCCGCTCCAACATTTAATTTCAAAATTATTGACAAATCATTAATTGCCGGTACTTTAATCTCTCGTTCTTTAATTTGAATCGTTGTTGTTATTATTATAAGAGCGAGAAATATTGAGAAAGTACTTACATAGCAGAAGAAAGAACTTGAAAATCATCGTCGCAACAGGGACGCCAGCGCGAAGCCTGCAAAAATAATGCAAATGCTTAATTAGTGGTTCTTGATTTCATTGCAATATAATATATGTAATTAATAATTATCAAGTCTCATTATATACAGTTTCAACGCTCTCGCAGTGCCTTAACATGCGCTAGACTTAGTCGCGAAAGAGCACATCGTTTAAGAGCCTGAAATTATATGCACCGTTTCATCATCGTCGCAGATAGACCAGCCACGCGGCAAATAATGCACGATTATTATGGGACTCAATTTAAAGTGGTCCTGTCGTTATGCCCGAGATATTAAAATGATTTATTTTCTGAGCGGCGAGTACAATATCGTACATATAGATATAATTTACACAGGCTTGCGATATATCGAAGTATCTTGGGATATGTAGCCACAAGCGAAAAATTTAAATACAATGAAGCACAAAGTATGCGGTGCGCAACTTTTTTAATGCTCGCGTTATAAGAATATTAAGCTCGTTAGCCCATATTCGCATCTTGCTGCACTTCGGCTTTTATGATAAATTTATGAATTATTTTCCGGAGGGTGGCTGTTCAGAATTAGTTCGCCTGCTATACACACGTCGCTGACCTTTTTCCTGGAATAACGAAAAAAAATTTCATAGGGAAAATAAAATTCATTTTTTGTTCTACATACACCTCGAGTAATGCGAAAAATGAGAATTACTCGAGTCGATAAACTTTACGTGCTATTATATACGATTGCGTCACGAGGCGTGTGCGTGTCGCTTTTTTTTTGTTTCGTTTCGGAACGCACGTGTGTGCAGTGCGCGTGAGATTTATATATTTTACTGGTAATAAATTCAATAAGATGCACTTTACTCTCTCACGCTTTTACTTAGTGCATAGCGGAGAGAATCGCGACAAACATAATTTTTTTTTTCCGTCAACCGAGCATTCTATACTGGCGGCATCCACCACCTGATCTGGCTTACGCAGAAGGAATTGTTGAAAAATTATTACGTATTTGTGTGTCTCTGTGTCCGCGTCGAGTGCATTACGGAGGGGCTTACTTAAATAAGAGGCCTCTTATTGCCTTGGAAAAAAGCGAAAGAAGAAGTTAATCATGCTCACTGTCTAATGCGGTATCCGTTTCGAGATAAAAACGTGATACTTTTATTTTTGAATCTCGTGCGAGTTTATGCGAGGAAGGAAGCAAGCAACGTTCATGAAAGCGAGTGTAGTCCGTAAGAAAAATTATTAGCGAAGCCGAAAAAATCAAAATTGAAATCTAGTCAATTTATACCGTTAGGATAATAATTGTCAATTTCAACTGCCGAAACCCGGGATTGAACCGGGGACATTTAGATCTTCAGTCTAACGCTCTCCCAACTGAGCTATTTCGGCTATGGAGACGAGTTTGCAATGGCGTGTTAAACAATGACAATACTATACAAATGCTCTATGAGCAATTAAAAAGACAAAGTTAGATGTAAGTACACTTGTATCGATGATCTTTGTCAGTTTTTATGAGAAAATGTAGGTGAAAAAAGCAACCAGAAGACCTGAATCTTGCAATCAAAGTTCTGATAATACGGTGTGTTATAGAGTGCCTCGATGCATGTTTTCTTTCGGCAATCGATCATATGTTAGATGCTCCTTCTATCAACACGGAGCAAACCCATGAGCAAGTCAAGTCAGCTCATGGCCAGATAAATTTCAAACTGACAAACAAGATTGAAAATAATCACTCTTGCCAATAATGAAACTCATTTACAAAACTTTATTCCAAAGAGTTCAGTTCGAAGAGCTGTATTATCTTTTATATTGATATAGAAAATAACAAAGATTCTTTTATAATGTGGAAAATCCTCTAAAAAATGGGCCCTAAGGCCCATGAGATCAAATTAAGCACAGGGAGTTTCAGTATTGGGTACCAGACCCCAAAAAAATTTTGGAGCAAATCTATGACCCGAAGCTGGGGTGGTCTCTTTGTAAGTATGAAAAGTAAGAAACGCGAAAAATTTTCCACACAACCAGAAATTCGGTCATGAAAAACGAGTCTTTTGACGGGGCGAGCGGTTAAAAAGAATGATCATAGCTCGAGATATTCATTTCCACGGAGGTGACAGTTTTTTTGACACACGTGAATTTTCCAATAGAATAATTATCGCTGCATAGCTAAAATGTAAAATTTGTACCCGCAACCTACACTAATCGAAAGTTGGGTTATAATACTTGACATTTACGTATCTAGGGACATCAAAAATGAGTTAGCGACCCAAAGCAGGCGGTATATTTGAAGTTATTCAGAAGCATGATTGAAATCCGAGACATTTTTCAATTGTGTGGGAAATTTTTTTAAAACATTTTTCAAGGCCTTATGATAGACTTAAACTTTACATTGGATATATAGAAGCTGGTCTTGTAGTTATTATAGGGACAGGTGCTTATGAGAATGCATGGTTTATGCAAATAGAGTTGATTTTGAGATCTAGACATGCCACGGAGGTGACGTTTGGCATGTATATCTTCACGGCAAATTTAACTGGCACTAAGAAATTGAAATATTTATGTCCAATCATGAAGAATAAAACAATATTTAATGAACGACCGAGCCAGTTTTGGCTCATCTTCACTAGTTTAAGAACATGGCATGTAGACAGAGAAAAAGCAGACTTCAGGAGAATCAACCATATCTTGACATAAAAATTATGCTTATTGTAATTATTTCAGAGTTAAACAAGAACCTCCGGATGAGTTACTTGACGAAAATGTTCATGCAACAAATGATAGCTCATCCGACGTTAAAAATGTTCGATTCGTCAGAGAATATTCAGTAAGAATCGTCAGTTATATAAATTTCTCATAGTTAACTTTTTTTTACAAAATTTTTGATAAAACTTGATATTTTATAATAGTTGCTCCGAGAATGTAACGAAAATCGTAAAACCGAACTTGACGAAATAAAAATTGAATTAGAGTGTAGAGACGAGAAGCCCAGCATGAATTTATTTGAAGTTACAAAAATTGACGATTGTTCTCAAAATCACTTGCAGCATACGAGTCATAACGTGGATTATAAAACTCGAAACATTATTAAAACAGAGAACGATGGCAGATTTAAGAAAGAATTGAATTTGAATTTCGATTGTCAACTAGTCTAGAAAAATAAAAATGGAGAAAATAACACAGAGTTAAACTATAACAATAGACACAAAACTCATATCAGTAAAGTACACAGTGGTATCGATTATGCATGCAATGTTTGCGGCAATACGTATTTAAAAAAAAGTAATCTCAATAAACACATTAACGCAGCGCACAAGGGTGTCACATATATATCTATTACTATATAGTAGAGAGGATGTGGTTCGCTTGCTCCCCAAAATTTCCACCTGCTCCCCCACAATTTTTTCAAAAATGTGAAATTCACGTGATTTTTACATGATTTTCGGTGTTTTTCCCCGTATAAATTATTACTGCTCCCCAAAAATTCCACTGCTCCCCACTGCTCCTCCACTGCTCCTCCACCGTAAATCCACCGGATATGTGACAGGTATTTTTATAACAATAACGTATATCACGTATAATAATACAAAGGTACTTTTATACATAGGTACTTTTATAATAAACAACAAAAAATTTCCAAGAAATCAAAAAAAAAATCGTGTCGTGATACGATCAGTCCAGGATCGGGCTACCTTTCCGTAAGACACTATAGGTAAATGATTAGAATACGGTGTTATCGATGGATTTTGACTCGCTGAACCCAAATTTGGTAATTAATGTTGGCTGCAAGTGGTACCATGTGGTTAAAAACCCATTTGTTTAAAAAAATTACTAAAATCGTCGAATATGGATTTTTAAACATAATATTCGTATTCTAAGAAAATTTTTAAGAAAAAAATGTCCCTTGTGATTTTTCTCTAAAATGCATATTTATCGTTAGGTAATCCTTAGGAATCTTGAAAAAAAACTACAAGACTTTGCATAGAGATGTGCGAAGAATAATAAAAAGCGCTCACATCATCGAAAATATTGTTTTTCATGTTATTACACGCAATCGAATATCACGAAATTAGCGTTTTTTTCATTTTCATTGGCTTATAACTCGATAAATATGCATTTTAGAGAAAAATCACAAGGAACATTTTTCTCAAAAAATTTTTGGTAGAACACAAACATGATGCTTAAAGATCCATATTCGACCATTTTGGTAATTTAATTAAACAAATGGATTTTTGACGATATGGTACCACTCAGAGCTAAAATTAACCACCAAATTCGTGCGTCAAAATTGATCGATAACACCTTATTCTAACCATTCACCTACAGTTTTCTACGGGAAGGTAGCCCGCTCCCGGACTAAATAAATATAGCCAAAAATGTATTTTCCTACTGACTATTTTTTTTTAATTTTTCATCAATAAAATACTTGACCGTTTTATTACTAAAA